AAAAGTTCCTAAGGGTGAAGTTGCTAATTTTCATTTCTTGAGTGTCAAAGTGTCTGATAGAGTAGTTGTAGATAAATGCATTTCGATTTAAATTCAGTATTTCTGTCACTCACAACATGGGAGTAAGTGGTGCTTTGTACACATAATTCAAATGGAATTGTTTACTTCTCTAGTCCTGGCAGGCCGATTCTATGAAAAAACTCAAAAGTTACACAAGTATAGTAGTTCTTTTTTGTCCTTATCTTCTTTCCTTTATGTCTGCTTTCCTCATATTTCTTCCAGTGGGAACTTGCTGATTTTAAACCTTATAAAAGTATACCAAGCTTAGACCAGAGACACTGTGTGGTTAATCATTATCTGTAGGTTTTCTCAGGTCAACAAGTAAATCCTAACATAGATGATTTGCATATGAGCTCACATGTACAAAGTTTGATCCTTTTTTTCAGTATGCCATCACCAACAGAGATCTCTTTCTGCTTTATCAAGTCAATGTATGACAAGACTCAATATTTTAATGCCATTGAGGTAAATATGATGATGGACAATTTTTGGTTGAATGGCATGAGACAAATAAGTGAAAAATCAACAGGCTATTTGGAAACAAATTTCTCCTCGTAGTCACATGCTGTAGTTTCTGAGCCAGTATGGCTTTATGTTCTCTATAATCCAATTTCTTTGAAAATGGCTTTCAGTTCCTTTTCTGTGCACTATTGATGTTAAGCATGAAGGAATGCAAACAGTCCTACCATCAAAAGCAAATAGCATCTTACCACCCGGAATGCCCTGGCATGAATCCACAAAAACAAGATTTAACTCCTAAGAATAGCAGTGGATAGACAGAATTAATGGGTGGTCTTTCCAGAAAAATGGCTTATAAACTTCACTGAAGTAGTAATGTGATGCCTTGGTATCAACATTTGTTTGCTTATTATTGGCACCTTAAAACTATTGTATTAAAAAGAGAATCCACAACATTAACTAAATAGAAAATTTTAATGTGAAACGCAGAATCTTACAAATCACAACTGTTTTAAACCACAAACATTTTGCTGATAATTACTAATAATTTCCATTACTGACCTACCCACCTTTTAAAATATTTTTTTAGGTGATATCACTTACTTGGACTTCTAAGCAACAAATGAAATTTCTTTTCCCATATTGTTAAAAGATTTGTAATTGCACTGGCAGAGTTTTCTAAAAGTGAAGCCAAGACACTCACTGGCTATATTAAAAATCTACGGTGTAACAGAAAAAGGCACCAATTTTAAGGACAGTGCTATATGCTACATTGACAATGCTCCATTTACTCAAAAGTATTGTTTTATAAGGTTTCTTTCCCTTATGAGCTGAGGGGGAAAAACTCAATGCTCTGGATTAGGTTATACATCTTGTTGGTGAGTTATCACTAGCCATGCATTTTTTTCACTTGCCAAATGATTTCATCTTTTTGTTTAAATGAAATTACAGCAATGTTCTCACCAGACTAAGGCTGCCAAGAGATATGAGAGTAACATTACCCTAGTATAATTTACCGCTTGAAAACACAAATTATCTTCCATTTGCACTTTTCTAACCTTGTATGAAATATTTATGAAAAACAAACCTCTGTTTCTCTGATGATTAGATCATGAGGGTGGAGCCTTCCTGAATTGGATTAGTGCCCTTATAAAAGAGACTATAACAGAGAACCAGCTTATCCTTCCATCACAGAGGATACAGTGAAAAGATAGTGGAATGTCAAAGAAACACTCCCCCTTCACCCTTTAAAGATTCCCTAAGAAACCAATTTACAAAAAGAGATGAGCAGGAGAAGTGGCATACACATTTATTGATGTATGCAAAGGAGAGCGCCACAGAGCAACAAACCCCAACCAACTAACAGGGTACTGAAGCTTATGTACTATCTTGATACTAAAGAAAGAACAGGGGCTCAATGATGGACAAAAACAGGGTATGGTGGCAAATCAGATTATAATGGCAAGACAGATTACAAGAGGGAGAGAAGAGGAGACTTGACTAGCAAACATGGTCTGGTTATATAAATTACATCTCAGAGGTAGCAGCCCTCAAAGAGTATAGATAGTAAATGTTTCTTTCAGACCTTTAAAAAGGTCAGATTCTCAGTTAACATCTCCTAGATCAGAGAAGGGAAGGCCCTCACAGAAAACCTGACTCTATCAGTGCAGATTTTCTCAACAGATGTAAATCTCCCCCACAAAAGATAGCTTTACAGGGCTACTTTTGTTTGCTGGATCTCCAAACAACCATCTCAAAGTATGTCAAAATTCATTGGTAAGATATTTTTATTTCCTTCGGTAGCCATTTATGAGGAAGAAGATCCTCACCAGACAGTGAATCTGCCTGATCTCATACTTATCAGCCTCTAGACCTGTAAGAAATAATGTAGAAAATCACCAAAGTTTATGAACTTTTTGATACAGCAGCCCAAATGGACTGGTATCCATTGGTTTTTTAAATCAAGTGGTATTTTAAAACATCACGTGGACACACAAAAAACAATGGGAACCTACTTACAGTCCTCAATTTATAACTTCTACCTCTGATAATTGCTCAGCCCTGGCCTAAAAAGCATCATTCTCACAGTCTTCAATGAGACTAAGAGAGATGAGACAGTGATATAAATTATAGTTGGAGAGTTAATGATGGAAAGTTTTGATAAACACATCAAGGCATTACAAAAGTAACCCACCTAAACAGTACTGGGAGGCGGTTCTCCCTAAGTCTCTCATGTTTCAAAATACTGACAGCCTTTATTTCGGGTCATCTGTTCAATAGTTTACAAGGCAAACAAACATAGAAGATAGATATGAAGGCCCCTTATAGAGCAATAATGGATGCGTTAACTGTCCATTATAAACACATTTTCTAAGCTCATAATTCCTCCTGTATATTCAACTTACTGTATTGTGTTAGTCTGTGAGACTTGTGGCTCAAGAACTGGTGAAAATGCTAGTAATGTTCCTGCTTTGAGTAATAAAGTCCTTGATCTTTGACCCAAGAGTTTTGTGTCTTCTGCTACCATGCATAGAACAGTGGCATACATATTAAATTGCAAATACAATAAAATCTCAGATTATTCGTTATTCTTGACAATTGATGCTAGTTTTCTCTTCTACTCTAAGCACTCGCTACTGTGGTTGCTCTAAAATGAATAATCTAGTCTTCTTCCTGAACTGTTTATCACAATTCCCCAAATCAGTAACATTTCACTTTTGCTTTTGACAGTATACCATTACCTTATTCTGTATCAAAAGTTATGAACTACCATCATTTCAAATGCCCGAATCTTTTTCTATCTCATTACTTTTGTCTATTTTGGGTCTTCTTCACCTTCAGACAATTGCCTAGTGCTTAGCAATAAAGCAAAATGACCAACAGCCGAACAGTGGACCCATGTCAAAACTGTGGATTTGGAACCGTTTCACCACCAACTGATTGTATTACTTTGGACAAGTTATTTAACAAACTCATGCCTCAGTTTCCTTATCTATAAAATGAAGATAATAATAGTAATTAACTCTCAGATATCTGCAAATTAAACGAATTTATACATTAAATGTGTTTAGAATAGTATGTGGTATATAGGAAAAATGCAATGACGTAGCCAATTATAATTCAGTTGAACTTCCTTTAAAAATTCAGTGAAGGGCTCATTTTAAATGCAAGTTGTTTGTGATTTACAATCTAACTATACTGGGAAGCTGAATGATAATTTAGGGTTACAAATACGGTTGGGCTTTTCCCAGTTCAAATCTTTAGTAACTTAACACAACATTATTTTCATAGGCTTTCTTTTTGGAAAAAATCAACACCTCATAACCGAATCATCTACAAATGCTATGAGGGACCAAGCATCAACTTCTCTTTGTGTAAATGTATAAATATACTTTAAGGTTTAAAACAGAATTCCAAAAACTCTTCCATAGATGACCTTGTTCATTTATCATGCCTAAATATTATCACATGAACACTAGAAGTTTTCTTCATGCCCTAAGACAAAATTCAATTCACCAGTTATTGTTTGTCCATTTGTGTTTTCACTATGCTATGGCATTATTCTTAATGAGCAGATAGCATCCCTTGATTTTTTAAGAGCTGTCCTTTCTATTTTTCTAAGCCTATAACAATTAAAATAAACATTCCAAAGGGCCAAAGCAAAAGAGGAAAAGCTGCAAAACTCTGATTTGATTTTCCTACACTTTTTTCCCTCCTTATTTCCAAGCAGCTAATCCCCTCTCAAACAGTACAATAGAACAGCTAGACATAAAGAAAAGGAGGTAAAATTGGCCAGCCAGCACATTGTTCTTGCTAATCTGGACCATTTACATAAGGGTTAGAAGGCTTGTTTTATCATTTAAACAGGCTTAAAAGCCTCTTTGTAAATGAGATTTAGTTTCTACAAAGGAATGAATTCTAGCTATTTGGTGCATTTCTGCTAGACCAGCACTGGGAGCTGACTTGGCAGTGTCTACAAGCTACTTCTTTGGCCACATACAGTTTATGCAAAGATTGCTTCCAGCTGCCAAAACTGAAAAACATCAAGCTGATTAAATTCTTTTCTGGAAGTGAACAGGAGCAAGTTAAGAAGCCAATAATGGCAGATCTTCAACTACACCTGGAGAAATTCATCTTTCATACAGGTGCTTTAAAAGTGACTTTGGGCATTCTGAGCCCCTAGGATCTTCCTTTGAAGGGAACAAAATGGTGGACAGCAAAAGAAATTCTGGAGACAGAAGATATAAAATTGTCTCAAGCTGTAAAGTGAAGATAGTCCAAACTCTCTTATGTATTGTTGATCTGAGTGTCACTGGACACAGGATAAACTATATAACTAACTCCCTTGCCAATGTTAGCACAAAAGATCAATGGAAGAAAAAGATTGTCTTAACATGGAGAAGTACAAACTTCACATCAAAATCTTAGATTTTTAAAATCAAGATTATGTTTACACATACTATACCTATTATGTGTTTTACCTGGCACACCTTGAACAGATGTTCAGTGTGACCTTGGCCTGAGGCTCAGCAGGGTGAGTAGGACGGCCTTGGTTAAATTTGCTCCCAGAAGGTACCAAGGTTGTTACTCCCTCCATTCTTAAATCATTAAGATCCTCTGTAACAACACAAACAATTACAGAGAAAAAAATTAACTCTAGTAGAATTAGGGATAAAAGTCCATGTTTTCAGGTATCTATCAGTAGTTTGTTAAGCAAAGCATTATTTTATATTCCCCCTGTGCAAAAATCTAACTAAGTTTTTAAAAAATTGTTTCTAGATGTAGTTGGAGACAAATTATATGAGAAGATTTACAGGAGACAAAGTGGAAAGAGATTGAATATACAAACAGACAATGAATAGAACAAATGCGAAGATAGATTGCTGATTGATGCATACCACCTGGGGAGGCCAAAGTATAATCTCCACAGCAATCAGCCCAACACAGTCAGGATATGGTCAGTGACTGCCAGCTTCCCTATTTTTTGTCCTTGTTTCCAACCCAGAACTCAACTGGACAGAACCAAGTATGTTCTAAAATCAATTTCATAAATCTACTTCTAATAAGGCTGTTGTCAGCATCCCCATCCAACTACCTCCAATCAGAATGTACCCAAAACCTTCTTCTTTTTCACTCTTAACTTTTTCTTTTGGTTGTCACCTGAGGAGGACAGTAGTGTGCCTGCAGAGTTCTGACCCAGAGGCTTACCAAATCCCCCTTCTATTTTCCCCAGGTCTTCAATCAAGACTTAGAGATCTAGATTTCTGTTGTGATTCAGTTCTCACATAATTGGCACATGACCTCTTACTTTGTTCAGAGAACAAAGAAGCTTGTACAAGTGATTCTAATTACTTGCTTTGAGCTGTAGCAAAAGAAAAAAAAGACATAAAGTTTCAAAAGATAAATTATAATTTTGCTAAAACATAATCCATCATTGAAGGAATAATCTATATGATGAGGAAAATCACTCTCTTCTGATGAACTAAAGACTACAAAAATATCCAAAAATATCCCAGACTCTTCAAACAAGAATCTAGAGGATTGCTAGGTTTAATTGGATATTACAATGAATATCAGATTTTTCTAAGATGGTGACAGCTCTTAGTTTAAATCATAAATAAGCCTTTTGTAATCTGAAGAAGTCTTGTCAACAGACTCCTTCTACAGACTTCCCCAAGTAAAAGCTCTTTTGTCTACTTGTGCCTAAGCAATCTGGAAAAGCACTTAGGGTATTAACTTCATGGAAGTCATCAAAAACTCATCACCTTGACCTGTTTGCCAAGGCTTGGTCCCCTTGTTTAAGAGCATAGCTGCCATTTAAAAACTTGGCACTTCCTCTGAACTAGTTACAGGCTCCCCTCTTGATCTTATGGTTCCTGATGCAACACAGACATTACTACTGCCTGAGAACACACAAAGCTTTTTAGCTAACAAAGTCTGATGAGACTGTGGTAGTATCTCCCTCTCACATTACCCTTCACCAATGTAACAGTGGTGACTTCTGTTGCCACTGTCTTTCCTGCCCGTACCAGAAGAAAACCTCACAATTGCCTCAGCTAGGGAAAACTCTGTACTTTACTCAGTTTTTCTTCTTTAAGAACTCTTATTAAAAATCTTGACTCAATATTATTTGTTGATGGATCATACTGAGAGCACATGTAGCAAGAATAAAATGGAGTTAGTCAGGCCAGGGGACAAGACGACACAGCTAGTCTGCCTGGTTTAGGTCCTACGTGACCCTCACCTCATGTTGTCCATCCTTTTCATTTTGTCAATTCAGCTTTAACCTAAAAGTATATATCTTGAATAGGTTAGGGTAATTGATTTAGAAGCCTAACTTTTGAATTAGAAATGTTGTTTTGGGTCATGGGTTATGTTGATTATTATTTACTATAGGTCATGAGTTATGGCAGTTATATTGTATTTAAAATAAGAGTTAATTAAAAATAGACAGGCGTTATGGCGGGCACCTGTAGTCCCAGCTAGTTGGGAGGCTGAGGCAAGAGAATTGCCTGGGCCGGGGAGTTGGAGCTTGCTGTGAGCTGTGTGATGCAACGACACTCTACTGAGGGTGACAAAGTGAGACTAAAAAAACAAAAAGTAAGAGTTAATTATTGGGGTGGCTCCTGTGGCTTAAGGAGTAGGGTGCCAGCCCCTTATGCCGGAGGTGGAGGGTTCAAACCCAGCCCCAGCCAAAAACTGCAAAAAAAAAAAAAAAAAAGAGGTAATTATTGTTCTCTAACAAAAGGGGTAAAATGGTTTTTGCTTTGAACCTATATGTATAAAACCATGTTTTTGAAACTGTAAGGGCAGAACAGTATCTGAAAGATTATTCTCCCTGTTCTCCAGAACTGCTGGCCTTCTGATAATAAAGCTCTTTGAACCTATACTCCATGTCTACATATTGGCTGACAGACAGCTGGGCCCTCTTCATCCAGTAACAATACTTCAAAACTTAAAACTGGAGGTTACTGAGCAGGGCATGCTATAATTAATTAAGACCTTCAAATATAGCCCTCTACCTTAGGTAAAATCAGCCCACATGGCAGAACTGTCTTACTTACTTGAGTCTTTGTTGACTGAACAAAGACCTCAGAGGAAATGTATACACAGTATGCTTTAAAAAAAAATATGTAAGGCAAGAGAATTATTTGAACCCAGGAGTTTGAGGTTTCTGTGAACTAGGCTCATGCTATGGCATTCTAACACAGGGCAATGGAATAAGACTCTGTTTCTAAAAAAAAGAGAGAGATAAAAAGAAAAAGGAAGGAAGGAAGGAAGGAAGGAAAAATGATTTGGGGATGTGGAAGCAAAGGGTTTCCCAACTCTGCTGGAACCTCCATAAAAAAATAAACAAGATGTTTAGGAAGTTTTTAGACATACTCCTACTTCATAAGAAGGAAGCTATTATAAAGACTGAGGCTCATGAAAATACAAATAAAATGGAAGGTAAAGGAAATATTCTAGCTGATTATTTTGCCAAATTATAGCTTTAACCAAGTTCATGATCCTAATATTTTAAATAATAAATCCTTGAAATAAAGACACATAAAATATCAACATTTAGCCCCTGATTCCAAAAAGAACAATGCGAACAAATATGGTTCTAGCTTTACTTAGATAATCTCTGGTATTCTTGGTGGCACTGAGATAGAGAACTAGGATACCTTGCTTGATAAAGAGTCATAAGCTCCATAAGAACCACAGTCTCTGATGAAACAGAGATGATAGAAAAACTGGCCAAACCCGGCTATGAACCCAGAACCCAGATGACCATGAAAAATGACTTCAGGTTATACTCACTGCTCATTATGCCCTGCTCATAATGTAGTGGGTACTTAAAGAAACTCTCACCAGCACCTTGATAGTTTACCAATGCCATGGTAACTCCCATAAGTTATCCTGTATGGTTTAGAAAGGGAAGGGACTCTTAGGTGCATCAATTCTCCGCCCCTTTCCCAGATTTCTTATCCCTCTGCTTAACATAAAATTAACTAGAAGGCATAAATACGGCCCCAGAAACTGACACGATGTCATACTGGTTGCTCTGAGGCATAGCTACTGTGTTGTCTATAAGGTCGCCTTTCTTTTTTTCTTTTCTTACTTTAATAAACTTGCTCACTCTTGAATTCCTTCCTGGGTGAAGCCAAGAACCTGTTTGCACTTTAACCAGACCTCAGTTTGGAGGTCCACTTTCCTGTATCCGCACCAGTTGGCTTCAAATGGATGCTAGCTAAATTTCTCCATAAAATGACTCATCTTACTACGGAAAAACTGATTACTATCTTCAATCAGCATGGCTGGACAACCTTTAAAATGACAGCTGAGGTCATTTTTGAGTTATGTGTCACTTGTCAGTGACCTGACTCTGGAAAAACCATAAAGATGGGATACGATCAGGAGCTAAAGCTTCAAGGGGCTTTCATATACCTTCCAATGAGTTTTTTATAGATTGCACACTCTATGGGATTTGAATATGTTTTAGTTACCATACATCTATTTTCAAAATGGGTTGAAACATCTTGCTGAGAAGCCATAGTCTTTACCTTGCTAAAAACAAAACTGCTTGATTTTGTATTTCTAAACTTTATATCAAATATCCCAGGCACACACTTCACAAGAAATATAAAATAACATTACCCCTTACTCAGAATCCATGTTACCTTTCCCACCTACATTCTTCTGGAAAGATAGAATCAATGGAATCTTTGAAAGAAAATTAACAAAACTTTCAGAAACACTTGAGCTTCCTCAGTCAAAGGTACTCCCACCTGCCCTAATGACAGCACGGTTCACTCCCTTAAGGACACGTAGTTTATATCCTCTATGACCTGGTAACTGGAAGGTCTATGTGTTTCAGAATTTTACCTGTGATGCTCTATTCTGCCCCACTGCACACAGAGACAGCAAAATATTGTAAGAGACTCATATAATACACCCGGTTCTACTACTAAAAGGTTAAGGTCACATTCTTCAAACATCTTACTAAACAGCTTCTTTATAATATTCAGCCCTGAGATTTCACCTGTTGGAAGATACATCAAGAAAAACTGCTTTTGATTCGCATGAAAAGGGATCTTATCAGATACTGTTAATAATAAATACGGAATTAAAACTCACTGAAGTAAATCCACAACGAAAGAAGTCATTCAAAATCAACAAAATTAGGAGCCTATTCTAACGGGGACCTCAAACTGATAATTCTCAGAGATTCTCTCGAAGCGGCTGATCTTCATCGTCCACTGACGCTTTCAGACAACAGCTTCTACCAGGATGTTGTATCAATATCCCTATCTCATTTCTAATTTGATCTTCATCTACTTAATTACAGTCATTCTTCTCATTTTCTACAAACCC